ATATATATATAATTTTTTTTTTTTTTTTGGCGGGATTAACAATTTTTTATGAAAGATTGATCGAAATGAATTCTGGTCTATGCAGTAAAAAGACGCCATCTCGCTTCATCATTGCACATGGGATATGAAGCGAGGACTTCTTAAGATCATTTTAAGAATATTAAAGAAGATACATCTTGGATATGATTACCTCTAAACAACTAGAGAAGACCGAATGTTAACTGACTTCTGTCTAGTAGTATGGCGCAGAAGTGAATAAATAAAATGCTGTTTGCCAGTTAATTATTTTGCCTTCTCATGTTTGGTATGCTATGCATTATAACTGGAAACCCTTCCCAGACACAACGGGTTGAGAAAAGAAGATGTAAAAGCAGAAGAGAGTTAGAGGTGGGAAGAGCGGGAAATAAGGCGCAGAACTGAGCCATCGTTGAGGGGCCGCGAGGTTAGGCGACATAATTTTATTATACAGATATTTCGAAAAAGACTGTCGGAAAAAGTGTACGCAACAATCCCGAAAGGTATTGTGGGTGGTTTTGAGATCTCTGTTCTTCATAGAAATTTTGAAAGAATGGCACGAGAGGCCATGGACTATGTTTCCGAGTGCTAAAGCGAAGCAGCAAAAGTAGGTAGTGTCAGAAACAGTTTATTGATAATATCCCATATTACCTTTCGGGATTGTCGCGTGCACTTTTTTTCCGAAAACCTTTCTCGAAATAGTTGTATGTGGCGTTCGGTGCAAATGAAAGACAATATAGAAGATGATATAACATTTTGCTTATTCACCCTATACTCTAGCACTAAAGTATACCCAACAGACTCCCGCTAACGGCTGCGCAGGAATTTTAAGGCAGACAAGAATGGCATTATAATAACAAACATGCGAACAGTCAAGATGCCTGATGAGTTTCAGAATGTTTCAAAACGCACGAAGTTTGAATAATTATCATAAACTACATTTGGATGCGCCAATTAATCAGTAAATAAATTTCATTGTCAAAAAACAAGGTGCATGTGTTACTAAAATTTATGACTTTTTTTCAGATTTTGTTTAGAGCCCCTTTCCTTTATTGTTAACTTTTTAACTGTTCATTTATTTCTTAGACACATATTTGGCATATTTTGGTGGCAGTCTGTTGTTTGCGATATGAGAAAAAGCTGTATTGTGTAAATTTATACGTATAAAATAATTAATTATTCTCTAAAATTTGTAACATTTTGCATTCCGATAGTGAACCCCATATTGCTTCTATTTCTTGTAATGTGTTTGCCTACTCCCCGCCTGAAAATCAGCTTTTGTTGTAGGACTACGTAGTTAAATGAATTTGTTTTTCTTTGTTTGTTGTTGAAATTTCTATCCTTGACCGAATGTGGCACAGCCGCAGAAAAAACGTATAACGACCGTAGGTGCAGCCAACTCTTGTCTCGCACACATGCCGGCAATGCGAACAGAAGCTAAATTCCCTTTCTACTGTAGCCTCTTGCTTTCTAAGAAGGACACTTACTTGCCGTCCCGATGGGAGTTGCACCCCCCAGTGTTGAGGCAATTCTTAGGTTAGGATTGGTAGAGTTTCTTTAAGAAATAAACGTACAGTTTAAAGCGAAATACCATGCGTGTGTTTTTATTGAGTATAGCAATAGGCTAATTGCACGTTGGCGTCATTTCACTCAGTACCAGAATCCTCTCAACCCCAGATTACATAAAGCGTTCGACCGATTGAGCTAAGTCCAGGCCAGACGGTGGAGTTTTACTGTGTGAATCAAGTGTGCAAGTCGTGTCAAATGTCAATCGTATACTTGCGCGTGGTGAAAGTGAGAAACCCAACGAATCGACTCTAGAAAGAAAATTGAGATTAACTAGGAATCAAAGGACGGCGAGATTTAAACGGGCTGTCGTGTTAAGAAGAGGGTCCTCAACAGGTTTTTCAAGGATACGGGATTTCCCTGATTTGAAGCTTGGGACTCGGGATATTAAATCGGGGCGGATTTGAGATTAACAGTATGCTTTGGAGGTGGGATGCCCAAAAAACCCCTCGGGACTATGGCATTGCGGGAAATTTTGTGTCGGGATTAAGGGATTGAAGAACCCTATGGCAGACCCTGTAAGAATGAAAGCCTGCTTTCTCCGAGTCTCCATTGTAAATCCCCCGTCATTAGCCATATAAAAAACACCGAGCTTTTTAACTCATGATCAGTTGTTATACGGCTCGATTTTAGTCGATTCGCTGTGGTATACTAAACACTCCTCAGGCCTTTCCCGGCCTTACCTTATTCAGGGGCACCCGACGCATTTTAAAATGTCTTTTTAGGCTATAAAGAGTACATTTAGATCTCTAGAAATACATTCTAAAGCGGCGCTATTAAAATTTGTATCTGTTCGGTCATCCTAGGACAACTTGAGTCTTTTCGAAATTAAAAGGGCGCCAGTATTATTTTTTCGAAAACTTTAGAAGCAATTTAAAGTTTTACGAAAGTAAGAATTTTTCTGATTCCTCTCTATGTTACATTTTCGAATCCGAAAATATAGTTTTCCTTTTTCTGAGAAAAATAGCTTAACCTGTTGAGTGAAATGCAAAAAAAATATTATTTATTATGGACAGGCTTCGAAAAATGTACCGTGAATCAGTGAATGGAACGGTCATCGAGAAATATTTGGCCTTCATCAAGCTATAGAAAATTCTAGGCAATTTTTGGTTCTCCGAAGAGATATTTGACTGAAAACTGTTGTTGGGTGCCCCTGCTTATTAACGTCTTTCCGAAAGCCACCTTCATTGCTAATATTTAACGCTGCCCAAATAAAGATACAAAGTCATCAATGAATTCCAGTTTCGCCGAGCATCTGGGGTGAGAGCATCGCCTTGTCACTCCATATAAGGGAATACAAGACAGTCCTGGATTCTGGATTGCACGCCGTGGATTCCGGATTTCAAAGCCCAGGATCCTGAATTCCTCCATCAAAATTTCCCAGATTCCAGATTCAACAAGCAAAAAAAATTCCGGGATTTCGGATTTGGATTGTCTTGCATTGCGCGAGCCTTGGGCTTCAGGCAAATTAATTTACTGTCTTTTTCCTCTTAAAAATGAGGACTATTACTCGAGAGTATAGCCTAATCATCAGCACTTCAAGATGGGTAAAGACGGTCCAAAGGGGGAGGGGAGGGGGAGGGGGGGGGG